GGCCTCTCCATATTTAGTAAGAAAGGCCTGGCTGGCTGAGGTGCTGGATTCTAGGAAAGCATTAGTGGCTATTAAATCAAAGTAGGCCTCAGCCCCTCTCTCCACAACCCAAACTTAAGTCTCTAAGATGATAGGGACCTCCTTATACATAACCCTTTTTTCTGAGGCATCTCCTTGCTCAGTGGGCTGACTCCCTTGAATCCCATTCTTACATGCCTAAATCATGCATCACCATGTATTTTATAGGGAACCTAGATACCTAATGCTGGGCAGTAGATTTCATTAGGCAGCAAAGCACCTAGAAGGTAGGAGCTACAGCCATTATGTCTTTGTAAATCTAGCCATTTGTGACTCAGTTCTTCAGGGTCAAAATAATAGCCTCTCACACCTTGGCAATTGTGAGAAGATGGCTCAGATTTGGGCATGACTCGCATAATATAATGATAAGTACTATGAAGAAAGCCCATGAGGAAATTAATAATTCTGTATTCAGAGCAGTAAAGATGACCCAGGGCTACATGGTAAACAATGAGGAGAAAATAAAATATCAGCTAGCTACTCACTGATTGAACATAGTCCATCCCATGCCCAGAGTGAGACAGAGTTCTCTATTAAAATAGCAGATGACCATGTAATCTGGCTGTAACATGATGGTTGCACATAAAGGGCATAAATTAAAATTGCATGCACTTGTTCAAACTGTAAATGTTGGACTTTGCAACCTTTGCACTACTAGTTCATGCCAAAAACTGTAGTCTCAAAACAACTGACAAATTAACTCCATAGGCATTTATACACACTCTGGGAGTGGGGACATCATTTTAATTAGTCTCTGAAAGCCGTTCTAATTAAAACACCCAGAGCATCTCACATATCAGCATCCCCATGCTTCAAAATGGCAGCTTTAACTAAATTTGTTCAATTAGCTTTAGTTAAAGCACCCCTGCCATCATTTTGAAGCACAGGGGCATGGGTACATAAGATCCTGGAGTCTACTGGAGCGTAATAATTACCACGCTTCAGCAGATTCGATTAACTGAATCTGTTCCAACAGCATGTCGGAGCAGCCTTGCTGCTCATGTATAGGGGCTCCATAGTTTCCTGCATCATAACTAAACTCATTGTCTGAAATCTTTATTTGCCCTGAGTCTCATCCTGCACCACTGAAGTCTCTAGGGGCATTGCCATTGCTTTTGATACAAAGAGAGCTGTTGCTATAGTCCTACTGAAGTGTGTGGTGATTTTCATACAAGTAAAGAATATTCACAGGAATAAGCATTATAGAACAAGGTCTTTTTATAATATCTGAAAGATCCATTGGAACACAAGATGTAGTTTTTACCCTTTGTGTATTTTTTTCTTGCACACAGTAAGGCCTGGTAGAAGAGGGTGCACAGATTTCATTATTTTAATTCAGATTCTTTTAAATTGAATTAAATCAATTAAACTAATGGTTGGTTTCACTCCAGATCCCAGGACTCAGGTATTTACATTGCAAAAACCAGTGCTACAACTGGCAGCCTTCCTAGAAGTCTCAGTAAAGCTGAAGATTGAATGGACACACAAAATTAATTAGCATCCCCCAGTAATGTTTCATGTAATTTAGGTTTGAGGCATCTTGGCAGGGTGTCAAGGACATGAGTCTTACTGCTGTCAATCAGAGCCTTGTACAGAATCACAGAACCTTGAAAGATCATCAAGTCCAACCCCCCTGCTCTGGGCAGGAATACTGTTGAGCTCAAATGATGCCAGCAAGGTCTGTCTAGTCTCCTCTTGAAGAGGAGAGGAGGTTGGAGACTGCACCACCTCCTTGGGAAGTCTATTCTAGGTCACCCTTACCATAAAGAAGTTCCTCCTTACATCCAACCTGAAACCATCCTCTAACAGTTTATGGCCATTGCTCCTCATCTTCTCCTGGGGTGCCCTAGTGAATAGTTTCTCTCCCTGTTCCTGATATTCAGCCCTTTCATACTTTACAGATGACCACCAAGTCCCTCCTCAGTCTTCTCTTCCCCAAGCTGAACAGTTCCAGATCCTTTAGCCTTTCATCATAAGGTTTGTCCTTCAGGCCCTTAATCATTCTTGTGGCCCTTTTCTGGACACTTTCAAGATTCTCCATGTCTTTTTTTGAAGTGCAGCGCCCGGAACTGGACACAGCACTTCAGCTGGGGTCTCACCAATGCCAAGTAGAGAGGAAGTATCACTTCCTTCGCCCTGCTGGTGATGCATCAGCTAATGCATTCCAGTATGCTATTAGCTCTGTTGACTACAGCATCGCACTGGTGGCTCATGTTTATCCTGTGATCAACCATAACCGTGAGATCCCTTTCAGCCATCATACTGGCCAGGACACCTCCTCCTAACCTATATTCATATTGCAGGTTACTTCTGCCCAGATGAAGCACTCTGCATTTATCCTTATCAAACTGCATCCAGTTCTGCACTGCCCACCTTTGCAGCTTGTCCAAGTCCACTTGAATCTGTATCCTATTCCCTAGCTTGACTGCTTTTCCCTATAACTTAGTATCATCTGCAAACTTGGCCAGTGTGCTTTCCACATCCTCATCTGAATTACTGATAAAGATGTTGAACAGCATGGGACCAAGACCCTGCAGGACACAACTGGTCACCTCCCACCAATACAGTGGACAATACAGACCTGTCCACTAACACTCTCTAGGCTTGACCCCTTAGCCAGTTCCCAACCCACCTGACTGTGGACTCTGCCAGCCCACAATCCCCCAGTTTTCTTGTAAGAACATCATGGGAGACCATACCTTTTTAAAATCCAAGCATCATCAACTGCATCATCTACATATAAGCAGTTTATTACTTGATCATAGAAAGAGACAAGGTTCATTGGACAGAATACAAAATTGTAATAAATGGTAAAGTTCCCCAAAATTAAAGAGGGAAGGCAGAAAAGTCAGACACTGCTGGGCGATTTTTTTTTTTTTACTACATTCAAGCAGACACTTGTTTCTAACCATTCGAAAAATAAAATCTTGCAAATGCAACAACCTTGCTTTTAAGCCACTTCTTTTACATCACTTGCTTTTAAGTCACTGGCTTTGAGGACATAAGAAAGATATTGATGATCTCCAGATTTCTGGCAGGGGGAAGGGAAGCTCCAGTAAAATAAAGTCCCTGGAGCGTGCCCTGTGCAATGTCCTCGTCAAGAGTCAAATGTAGGGCCAGGGCTCCCCTGTGCCCACAGATACTCAGGTTCCATAAAACTCCTCAGTTAATGATGCTGTCTTTGCAGTTCTAAACTACATTAAGGGCTGACCTGATTCAGAGGGAACCCAGGATTAAAGACTGCAAAGGGTGACCTACTCCTCCTTTCTACTAGTCGCATCTCCCTGGATCTAGCCCAGAGCCAGTGCCTTCATTTCTGTCTGCCTATGGAGGGAATCAAGAAATTAACATTAAAAAGTTCAATCCACACTGCCATTTAAAACTCCTATTTTTAATTTTAATTCATTTCAATTCTACTAACCACAGTTACCTTAAATAACTTTACCCTGGTAAAATCTTCCTAATGGTATTAACAGTCTGGAGAAGCCTCATACAAAATGCATGATCTCTCCAAAATAAAAAATTCTCTAGTCACTTTGGAAAAAACATAATAATTTTGAGTAACTTTGATCATTCTCCTCCCTCTGCTTCAAACTGTCCTAAGTCTCTTACATCATAGATTCCTCTTCTTCACAGGAAAGGGATTCAGAGAGAATATTTTGTTAGTCTGATTGCAGTACTGCAGAGCACAAGGCAAAGGAGCTAGGGTGAATAATAATGTGAAAGCCAACATTATAAATCTAGTGGCAGGTTTTCTTTGAAGCTCTTGCCATCCATGTACCAACAACAAGCTTTAATAAAAATAGTAATTACAAAATGAAGCCTTCAGCATTTAATATGCTCATTTGATCTCTCTCCTGTATTGTGTAGTCTTTCTTACTGTCGCTACAGGCTTCCCTACCACTGAAGTAATGATCTTACTTCTGTGTCTTGTCTCCAGGTTTTCTTCCCTTCTCCAGGGGAGATCTGATCTTTGATTCCCACTGTCCATTTCTCAGTGGCCAGTTTCACAGAAACACTCAGTTGCAGCACCTGCAATGTCAGACCACGTTAGAATTTTAGAACACAAGTCACAGAATCAATGGAATATTAAAAGTTTAGCTACTTAAACGAACATATTATTCAGCTGTTGTTTGGCCACTTTTAAAGAGAAAGTTAGTCTATTTAAACTTTAAAGTTAACAGACTCTAGAAGGAAAGCAACTGCTATTCTGTGACTTTGGGAGCTGGATAATAATATAAAAATTACTTTAGACATCATTGACCCAAATAATGTTCTAAGCGCTGAAGCCACTACACGTGAACTTGTAAGTGCAGAATCACCCTTCATACTAGTGGCACCACAGTGGCTATAATATTATTTACTAATCATATTCTGTAGTGTGGTTTGAAGTTTTGTGATCTTTAGCCTAAATGTCTAAAGTCAGAGGGGATTCTACCAAGTCCATACTGCTTACTATACAATGGAGGGCCTTTGTAACCAGGATCCTTTGGAGAATTAGCTGGAGGAAAATTCAAAATGGTCTGATGCTAGGAGAGGAAGGGTGTGGTTATTAGGGCTATGCAAAATTTCAATGGCTGTTTCGTTCCAACACTGTTCCGACCAATTTCAAGTTCGAAACAGCAAAATTGAAACAAAACAAAGGCCATTGAAATAGCCTCGAAACAAAACGAGGCTGATCAAAACGTTTTGACCATAGGCTGGGGGTGGGAAGTCAGTCCAGCCGGCCTGACTTCCGATCCCCAGTGCAAAATCTGGCAGGGGGCAGGAGGCAGCCGAGTGGGGCTACTTTCCCAACCCCCGCACTTAATCACACTGGGGTTGGGGAAACAGCCCAGCTGGGCTGCCTCCCACCCCCAGAGTGATCACACGTGGGTGTCAGGGAAGTGGCCCCACTCAGCTGCCTCCTGCCCCTGGCGCAATCATGCGGGGGGGTCAGAGAAGCAGCCCAGCTAGGTGATCTAGTGCTGGGGGTGGGAAGTCAGCCCAGCTGGTCTGACTCCCCATCCCCAGTGAAACTCAAAACAGTGGTGAAACAGCCTTTCTGTTGTTTCGATGGAACAAAATGGAACAGCTGTTTCAACTCAAAATGAAATTCAAGACAAAACTCTGTTCCTTCAAACAGTCAAAACTCAAGGTGAAACAGAATGGTGCTGTTTCACACAGCCCTAGTGGTTATGAATACTAAAGGCTTAATAGGGATTATGGGATCAGAGGTGAAGTAGTTTAAATCAGCGGATTTATACAGGGTGAATTTGGATCATGATCTTTGCCTCCTTGCTCATTTTGTTATTGAGGTTCTCTTGTTGTTTGAGTCATATTTGTGACATCATCTCATGTACAAGGCCCTGTGAACTCTATGGCAAAGGGTCTGGATCCCATGAAGCTCCAATCAGATGCAGAAAAAAAATTAGAGCTTTTTATTGAATTAAATATGAAAATGAATAATGCAATCAGTATGGTAATCCATGTGTTATTAATTTGATAGTACACTTAATTTTATACTGCCCTAAAATTTTAAATTTTCCCTGTGCTTCAGTATTTTGTATTGAAAATGCAAGAGTCCACTTAGAGAAATTCTTAAGGTAAAAGTTGGATGTCTTGCAGATGAGTTGAAAGGAAGTGGGGCTTGTATGCTTTAGAACACATGGAAAACAGTTTGGGATCCTGAAGGAAACACCTTCACTCACTATAGGTCAGCTAACAAGATCAGCAATGAACAATTAATAGGAACAGCAATGTAATCTGGAGATCACCCTTCCTGCAAATTGTTAACATCTTTTTCAAGAATGTTTGTTGAAGAGAGACTGAGATGGGTAGTACAATGAATGCTGTAGCAAAGAACCCTGCCCCTGCTACTTAGAAGAGGGTGAGCATAAGCTACAGACTACAAGCTGAAGGCCTACAAACAGCAAAGCAACAACCTTAATTACATGAGGTAAATCCCTTGCCATGAGGTCCAAGAGGACTGTGGCCAGATAGGGCGTAGCCAAGGGAGATAAGCTGGGCACCAAAACAGAGGAAGAAAGTCTGGCTTGGTCCATGAGAGGGCAAGCAGCTTGGGTGGAAGAAGTACTGGAAGAAATGGTAAGTAAGCCCAAGAGGGTTGAAGCTACAGTAGCCAGCAGGCTAAAAGAGAAAGTCTTGAGGTAAAGGTGCCCTGGCATGAACCGAGTTGTTTGCTTGGCAGTAGTTTGTGTTTGTTTCTGATTCTTGGGCAGAGATGTCATGAAGCATGAGACAGCTATTAGGGGAGCAGGGCACTCAGAGAAGAACGTGAATCGGTGGATGATGTGAACCCAGGGTTGGAAAGCCACAAACAAGGCACTGGACCTAACCAGGTAAGCATTAAAGGGGAACACGTGCCATCAAGGCAAAGGGATACCAAGAGCACCCACTGAGGGGGGGCTAAAATGTCTTTACACAAATGCCAGGAGTATGGGGAACAAGCAGGAGGAACTCACACTCCTGCTTGCTAGCACGCAGTATGACCTAGTTGGCTTAACTGAAACATGGTGGGATTCTACGCATGACTGGGCGGTAGACATTGAGGGGTACAGGTTATATAGACAGGACAGAGTGGGGAGAAAAGGCAGGGGTGTAGCTCTCTATGTTAAGGAGCAGTACACATCTTCTGCCATCAAAGCGCAGGAGTGGAGGAGGGGAATACCGAGACATTGTGGGTCAGGGGAGAAGGACTTGGTAGTGGGGGTCTACTACAGACCTCCTCACCAGGATGATGAGCTAGTATTCTCCAAGCAGCTTTCAGATGCCATATAGGCAAGGGAGGCAGTGGTCATGGGGGACCTAAATTACCTAGATATCAGTTGGGAGGAACAGACAGCCAAAACAAGCCGCTCAAGGAAGTTCTTACACTGTGTGCAGGACCTCCACCTAACCCAGATGGTGTCCAGTCCCACCAGGGGTAGTGCCCTGCTAGACCTGGTCCTAGCAACAGGGGATGATCTCATGGGGGACCTGTGGGTACACAGTAGCCTGGGTGATAGTGACCACCACTTGGTAAAGTTCACTATCCAGCAAAGGGTGACAAAAATATCCAGTAATGCTAGAGTTTTAGACTTCAGAAGGGCCAACTTCACTAAATTTAGGAACCTAGTTAGTAAGGTGCCCAATGCTCTTGAGTTGGGTCTAGTGGGGGTCCAAGAGGGTTGGAAGTTTCTCAAGGGAGTGATCCTTATAGCACAAAAAGAGTCTATCCCCTTATGCAGGAAAGGTGCTAAGGGGATAAAAAAAAAAAAAAAAAAAGACTGCTTGGCTGAACAGGGAGATTCAGGAAAGACTGGGGGCAAAGAAAGGAGAGATATTGCCAGTGGAAGCAGGGGGCAGCCACCAAGGAGCCATACACCACCCTGGCGCGCTGTTGCAGGGAGTCATTTAGGCAGGCCAAGGCAGGACTGGAGCTTAGGCTGGCTAAAACAATCAGGGACAATAAATAGTCCTTCTACAGATACATAGCAAGCAAAAAGAAGGCACAAAAGAGCATAGGGCCCCTGCAGGACAAATCAGGACAGTTGGTGGTTGATGCAGACAAAAAGGCAGAGCTCTTCAATGAGTTCTTCGCTTCAGTATTCCTTAATACTAACCAAGACAATCCCCGCACCTTGAACATAGGCAGATGTCCAAAAGGCACCAGATTGCCAAAGGTTAGCGCTGACTTAGTTAAAGAGCACTTGGAAGGGCTGGATGGGTACAAGTCAGCCAGCCCGGATGACCTCCACCCATGGGTGCTGAAGGAATTAGCCAGTGTCATTGCTGAGCTGCTGGCACAGCTGTTTCAGCTCTCATGGTGCTCTGGACAGGTCCCTGAGGACTGGAAAAAGGCCAACGTGATGCCCATTTTTAAGAAGGGGAGAAGGGAGGAGCTGGGTAACTTTAGGCCAGTCAGTCTTACCTCTATCCCTGAGAAAATACTAGAAAAAATAATCAAAGAATATATTTGTGAAAGCCTAGCAGGGGAAACAATGCTGGATGGAAATCAGCATGGGTTCATCTCAGGTAGATCCTGCCTGACAAACTTAATAGCCTTTTATGATCAGGTTACACACTGCCTTGACACAGGAGCGGAGGCCAATGTCATCTACCTGGATTTTAGGAAGGCCTTCAACATAGTTTCGCATCCTATTCTTACAGGGAAGCTAATGGGCTGTGAAGTGGACGCCTACACAGCCAGGTGGGTGGCTAACTGGCTTAGGAACCGCACCCAGAGAGTGGTGGTTGATGGGTCATTTTCAACTTGGAAGGAGGTGGGCAGTGGGGTCCCACAGGATTTGGTCCTTGGGCCAGTATTATTAAGTATCTTCATCAGTGATTTGGATGAAGGTGTGTTGAGCACCCCTCACAGCAGATGAGGGAGGGGACATGCAGCAGAGTAGCAGACAGGGCAGGAAGCAGTTACAGGCTGACCTGGAGAGGTTAGATCAATGGGCAGAATGTAATAGGATGCAATTCAATAAAGATACATGTAAGGTACTCCACCTAGGAAGGAGAAATCCCCAGCACACCTACAGGTTGGGGGATGTCTTCCTCAGCAGCTCAGAGGCCGAGAGGGATCTTGGAGTCATAGTTGACTTCAAGATGAACATGAGCCAGCAGTGCAACGAGGCCATCAACAAAGCCAATTGCACCTTGTCATGTATTAGCAGATGCATGATCAACAGATCAAGGGAGGTGAAGCTCCCCCTCTATGCAGCACTAGTCAGGCCACAGTTAGAGTACTGTGTCCAGTTTTGGGCACCGCACTTCAAGAGGGACACGGAGGATCTGGAAAGGGTTCAGAAAAGGGCCACCCGTATTGATTAGTGGTCTTCATGAAAGACCCTACAAGGAGAGTGAGAGAGATCTGGATCTCTTCAGCCTATACAAAAGATGGCTATGGGGTGACCTTGTGGCCACCTATAAATGTATCAAAGGCATGACAGGTGAGGTAGGAAAGTCACCAATATAGTGCTGTGTGAAGAAGGCTGGGGTGGGCTGCCAGGTGGCAGCAGACTACCCATGAGATCACCAGACCT